CTTTCCCTAGGCATGTTTTTCCATAGTTCATCACATTTTGCCATGGTTCATCTCGCTCTTTTTATTTTTCAATCTCTCCTTCTTTTTTTGTTTCCTTCTTTTATTTTTTTTTTTTTTTTTACGGAACTAGAGAGAGAAAGTATTACCAGTGCTTCTTCCATATGGAAATCCTATGAATAGAATTTGTTTTCTCCATACTGTGATGGGCTTGTTGTGGTATTGTTTCTCTTCAACATACAGCTGACACTTTAATCTCTTGAGGACAGTAAATGCACATATGGACAATAGCAGAAGCAACAGGACTCCTCTGTGCTGTATTCGCAGAAGTGCTGGATAACAGCTCTGCGGTCTCTATGGGCCAGTCCTGAAGTCATTACTTCAGGCATGTCCATACACAGTTGTAAACACTTAGTTAACATGACTGAGCAAGCCTCTACTTGTTAGCTTAACTATGGTAACTGATGGTATGTACACTCCTAGCCAACCACAGATGCTATGCCATTAGCTTGGACATATTTTATGTTGAGTTTGAAATGGACTTGGGGTGAGCTATTGCAACTTAGTTGACAATTGATAATATAAAAGGCTCTATTTAGCTCAATTCTTGCAATCTCATGAACCTAACTTCAGCTAAAACTCTAAGGGAATTTCTTGTCTGGATGAATACTGCAAAGGTTGGCACCACCTCATCCTGTCTCCATAACTGCATCATTTCTGAAGTCACTTCCATCACTGCAACACCTGAGCATCTTTCTTTCTGTAACGTGCTAAGAAACATGACTAACATCTGTCATGTGGGTTTGGTTTTTTTTTTCCTTTGTGGTTTATACTGTAATTTGAGGTGTGTACGTGGGAGAACTGGGTGTGTAGTGAACCACTTTGTTTCACCAGAATATTTAAAGTATGTGGTATCCAGAGTTACTTTCTTCTCTGCTCAGTGGAAAGGGAGGAAAGGCTTCTCCTGTTCCTTGCTTTCAAGGGAAATTTTCTGCAGAGAGAACATCAGATTCTCATTGTCTTCAGTTCATGAGTGTTACTAAAATGTTTGGAAACTGTCCTATGATGTGCCTTCCACCACATTTCTACATTGCTGCAGGCAACCAAAAGATTGGATAGAAGGTTGTAACCACCCAAGTCAGAAGAGTCTAAGGAGGGAAAAAAACCCATTATTTTTACTATTACTTTTCTCTTCTTCAGCTGGAGCCAGCTGCTGGAAAGCAGACTTACAACAACTTCACCTATGACAGATCAAAACTCAAGTGTCCAAGCTCAGTAAGTAAAGGCCAAGATGTCCATACTCCCCATTAATGACTTTGATTTTTCTCCTTTCTTGTTGGTAAAGTTCTTTAAAAGAGTATCTTTGTGAAGGCTTTAAAGAGGTAAAATATACTCCTGTTCTGTTACACACAGAAAATCTATGTAAGATTTAATGGGGAAAAAAAAATAATTATCCTCACTGCAGTAGAACAGTTTTTTCATTTAAGCCTGTTTCCAGGAGTCTATATGGTTGGTTGTGGCAAGCCAGTTTGGAAGTGATGCCATCATTCCTGATTCTGAGCTGGCTCCTTTTTGTATTCTAGGAACTTTCAGGCAATAGGGCAGGAAAGAGTTTGACCTAAGATAGACAGAAAGTAGAAATAGCTGATAGTCTGTCAAAAGATTGTCAGTTCCTCTCTGGGAAGGGGCAATCACATATTGTCTGGATGCTGCCTGATGAATGGTCTGTGGTGAGTAAAACCTTTGCTTTCCCTTTGTAGGAGAAACCCTTTCTATCCACACTGAGAAACAGTGGGTTCAGAAATTCAGACCTCAACTTGGATAAAACTGAACCTTCAGTCCCCTACTGGGCTGTCATTGTGGCTGCAGTAGCTGGAGTCCTGGCGGGTTCTTTACTTATCTGGATAGTGCTGAGAAGAAAAGTCAAGAGGTACCAACATAGGACTGACACAGAGAAGAACATGAAAATGACACCTCTGTGAAACAAGTGGAACAAATGTCTTTCTCTGCTGAGACTGCTCTCTGGTGAGACGCAGAGAGCAGTAGAATAAAAAACCCCTGTTGGATAAGAATGAAACTTGTTGGTTAGGGATTTTGAGGCCCAATAAGCTTGATCAGAAATGTACTGTAAAGTTAGCTTCTGCACATCAGTCAAATGGAGGATGAAGTTCAAAATGTTAAAGCTTTTCATTCTGGGATGCAATTCTCTGTTTCATGAATATTACTCAGGATATCAATTGCTTGCGTGAAGTGAGAAAACTTGTTTGTGCACTTTGGCACGTTAATTGTGCATCTGCCCTTTTTTGTTATAAAACTGTACATATAATGTTAGATCCAAGTCCACGATTGTGACCTGGTATTCCCCAAACGCAAGGTGAGATAAAAAAGAAAAGTTGCTATTTCACATGTTAGATTCCAGCAGGACCATGGACTTGTAGGTGCTCAGGTGATTCTACACAGGCAAAACAATGCCATAACATCTTTAAGAGAACTTCTGAGCCTTGAGGCATCCCTGGTGCAGTGCTGGGCAGCACAGTTAGAATAACTGCACTCTCTCCACTGCCTTGGACTTCAGGCTCTGTCCATCTGGGACTGGATGTGGAGCTGGGCCATGTGCATCACTTCTCCTCTAGGTCTAAGTAGCCTAAGGGCAGTCCTGTGCCCTCCTGCCCACAACTGTGTGGCAACTAGTTCCAGAATGACTCTTCCTGTGAAGAAGGAATTTCTCTGTAGCATGCAATAGGGGGTCTAAGCAAAAATGAGGTAGACTAGTCAGCTTAACTCTTCTCATAAAGCCTGTAGTGTGTTCAGGTGTCCCAGGCTGGACACTCCGTGGCTGTTCTCCAAGGAGGAATTTGCAAAGTTCCTTTAAAAATCCTGATCAGGAGTTCAGAGATCTTTCCTGGAAATTATAGAGTCCTTGTTTTATATTTGCAGGTCAATTCATACAGTCTGCTGGTACAGAAGATACTTCACAGGTTCCACGTGATCATGTTTTCCAATGTATTTCTTATTTCCTATGTCAAGTACTTTCCATTTTCATTTCATTGAAGCCAAAGTGTGGTTTGCACTGGTGTAATTTTTGTGAGGTGTACTACATTTCCACTCCAGAGATGTAAATGAGAAGAAAATTAAAATGTTTTGGAGAAGAAAGTGTTCTGAGGTTCCTAAATCTACTCACAGAGAGTAGAGTGAGAATGCACACAGAAGGTATCCTCCTTTTTCCGTTTCACTCCTCTCATTGTCCTTGCTAAGATAAAAAGAGGTGGATAAAGTACAAGCTGTACTTACAAGTCAGGTTTCAGGGCTGTAGCTCCACTCACCTCTCCTTTGATCTGCTCTCAAAGGCTGGGCTATTAGAGATGATAGGACTTTTATTCGCCTAAATCTCAAGCGCAGGTGTGCGTCTGGGAGCTCTAGATGCAGCCCTAAGTGGGGATATATTTTGAATGTGAAACAGAAGCTGCTGCATGTTGCTTCGGTGCAGCACAGGCTGCTCTTCCTGTCCCTGTCTTCACTATAGGTCATTAACTATCTACCTGATAACCCAACTGCTGGGATTTATTTAGCTCTGTAAATGGAAGCATACACAGCCTCAAACCTGCAATGCAGGAGGTAAAATTTACCGTATTCCAGTCCATTTCACCGCACTCTCACCTCAGACACATTGGGAAATATAAGCCTTGCAACCCGAGCAAATATCCTAGTGGATCATGAAGGCTACAGTCTCCTCTCACCCCTAAATGTTGTTCTTGTGAGTCCTCTTCCCTTCTGGGAGCTTGGATAGCGTTTGCTCACACAGTTCTCAGCTTGAGAAAGGAGTTAGAAGCCATGGTTCTCTGCAGAACCTTTCATCAGTACTAGGTATTCCAAAGGAAACTCTAAAGAGTAGTCCAGTGCTGATTTACCTTTCTAAATCATTGACTGCAAAAGTGGGATGGGTGTAGAGCATGAGTTAGACCTACAGAATACTGCAGTTTCTCACATCAGGTTTGTCCTGCCTAGAGATGGGGACAACACATATTGGGTTTCATGCTGGTGCCCCCTGCTAGAATAAGTAGACATCCCCTTTCCTCACTTAGCTAAATTTTGGTCTGAGCTTCTGAAAGCCAAACCATAAGAGGTGCAGCCAGTTGGGAACTGAGGGGAAAGATGGCTCTTAGCTCTTCCACCATCTTGAAGGATCCTAGAGAGGAAATAATTCTTGCGAAGGAGTGACTCTGCTTTGGAATGCCTCAGTTCCCTGTGGCATTCAGCTCTGTAAAGAATGCTGTCTTTACTGATGCCTTGGGGAACTAAAAAATCATCGAGCTCAGGTTAGGCTGGGTCTGTGCTGCTTCCCCAACAGGAGACTTTTCCCCTAGTTTCTGTAGCTGTGGTGTTACTCTAATGCACTACTTAGCAGAAGCAAATAGGAGCTGGAGCAGATGCTGGCTGGCTTCTTATTTAGTCTAAGGAAGTATCTTCTGGCATCTTTCTGGTGTAGAATGAAGTACATGATGAACTGCATTGACATTTAAAAAACCCATCAAGAATCATGGAGCTGCTCCACAAGCAAAATTATTTCCTTGAAGATATTACTGCTGAGAATTCCCTCTGTGCTCATTAAATGAAGGTAACATTAAGCTGGAGTGAATGACAAATGATTAGGTCTGGATCTTAGTCTGGCTGCATTCAGTGACATATTAAATCAGAAAGTAATCTGTGCATCCTGTTTGTCGACTGTCCATTCCTCCATTTTTTTTTTCTGTAATAAAGTGCCCTGGGTTTCAAATACCCTTATGGTATTTTCTCTCAGTGGACTGCTGAGTAATCCCAGAATGCCTACAAAAGAAAGGAGGATTAGGAGGAACATTAAGTCTCTATGGCAAAATAAATGAAATGGCCAAAATCCTGGCCACCTCAGCCCAGGATTTTGCTTTGGCCAAGGGTGGTCTCAGTCACCACTGAAAAGCACTTCTTTTGTGTAAAGTGATTTCCTAATGTCCTAAGAAAACAGGCTTTGTGAATTCTTCCTCTGGAGTAGACCTTCTGCTCAGCCCATGTGAGCAGTCTCTGTCTAAAGGATCTTTGTGGATACTGGCCTTGCTGCCCAGCTCAGGTTGTTGTGAAGGGCACTAAGAGTGAGGGTTATGCTGTTGATTGGTCTTGAGAAGTAATCTGTTCTTCAAACAGGGAAGTAATGGAGCCTGACAAGTGTTGGCAAATTGTTTCTCTGAAGCTTTGGCAGCAGCTGAGTTCAAGTTCTGCCCTCCTTTGTGGCTGCTGATGGACCTCCCTCTCATCATGGTACATTGCTTTGTAAAGTCAAATGTCACACAAGCTTCCTCTAGGGTGAATTCACCCCGAAGTCCAGTTTAGGTGTTTAGTAAACCTAGGGAAAAGGGGAAATTCAGAAAAACATCCATACAGAATAATTATGTATGGCTTTGGAGATTGCTAAATGCTTCCTCCCACCAGCTTCTAGATGGTGAGATAGAGAGATACTGATGACAAATGATGTGATTTTAATAGCTGGTCAGTATGTTATAGATTGGGACATCTATTGGGCAAGGATTTTGTTACTTTGAGGGGTATGTAGCTAAAATGTTGAGGTGAAACAACTCCACTGCAAAGAGAGGAGTATGGAAAAGCCCTGGATTTTTCCAACTGCACCTTTGTGTGATCCATGTTCCCTGAGGTATTTGAAGATTTTGCTATTGGAGGACCAGAGGTTTGCAATGTTTGCTCTTTTTTTTTTTACCTGGGATTTTAGGAAAAGCAAGACAAAATTCTATCCATAAAGTAGGTCACAAATTACTTAAATGAAACATGCGTTCTGGATATCATAGATCTTTGAGCATGACGGAGAAGACGATCCTGAGAACGATTGCGTTAAAAGTTTTTCTGTCCTTGGCATACGGTTTGCTCATCCAGCAACCTGAGAAGCATTTCTAGGTCTGTATCCAGAAAAGGGGTTGATGGAAGAGGGAAAAGGGGCTGGCAGATTTTAACTTAGCACATGCTGAGCCTATTCCATGTAACTGTCAGCAACCTTCCTTGCCACCACTTAAGCTTTTGTGGACACCAGATGTTACAATATCTTTTGACTGTTGAATTCCTTTCTGAGTTCAGTAGATTTCTCTCATGCATTCTGAAACCCAACACTATTAATACACACCTGACTGGGGCAGGGAAGATTACTAATGTTAGCTGCTTCTGATGAACGTCCTAGTGCAAAGCAAAAGTTGTTCTGGTTTTGACCTTTGGAGCAACAGTCACCCAAGGGAAAAGACTGAAAGTCCAGGGCTTGAGCAATTTTAGAAAACAAATCCAACAAGACACCGGAGAACTTATTTAAGGGGTTGTTGGGACTACTCACTGCTATAGGTTGGAAGAAGTTCCCTTGCATCTTTCCATTTCTGTGATCCATGTAACTGTCATTTATAACACAGTCATAACTACATTAGGTTATGTAGATTTTACAGAGAAAATGGCATTCACTGAACTGTGTGCTTTTCCCTTCAGCAGGCTTTGTAGAAGTCAGGTGTAGAAATGTGCTCATGTTCCTTGTCGGATGGAGTATGGAATCTGTATTTCAGTGGTAGGGTGCTTGCAGTTTCCCAGTCTCCTTCTTCCTTACAAGAAGGATTTAATAATCTGTCTGGACTAGTGGTCTGCAGGAACATGCTTCAGTGAGAGACAGTCTGGAATTTCTACCACTGATCCATGGGCTGACCCTGGAGTGAGTTATTTCAGCTGGAGACACCAGCTGCTTCCAAACATCTATGAGTGCTTTCTCATCAGTGTAAAATGACTGTGGCTGTGAAGAAGCAAAGTGACCTGACACCTTTAAAGTGTCTGCATTATAACCATCATGGGTTTTTTTTATATTCCTTTTAGTGTTAAAAATAGCCACAAAAGAAAACTTTCTGGCTACCATTTGTGTTGCTTAGGTGACTGGAAGCACCACCTGAGCGCCCAATAGACTTAGACTGTGACG